GCTGTCATTGAAGTGGATGACCAAAACTGTATTGGACAATGAAAGTCATCCACTTTTGTGAGGTATTTACTGACTCACAAAAGTGGATGATTTTGAGTTATATAAGTGGATTAACGAATTTGCAGTGAGCTCAGAGCTTCTCTCATTGCGATCAGCCATGTGCGTTCTCGGTGGATGACTGACAGGCTAGGCCAATCACAAGCAAGTCGTAAGAGGGCGCATTAACACAGCAAGTTTTGTCTCGGTGCGAAAGCTGGTTGTCATATGACTACTAAACTTTCTCCTCTGGTTCTGAAATAAACCTCATTGTGTTTGGCATGGGTTTTTACCTATACTGTATGATTTTGACGCAGTTTCAATGAAAAATGAGGAGCTTGTTAGAAAATCACTTGCCCACGGGTACAACTTTGGGAAAGAAGGTGAGGTAGTTTGACATAAAAGGAAAAATTAAAAAGACTGGAGCTATACTATTGTGCTCCACGGCATGGCGGTTCGAATGGCGCAAGAATCAGGTCTCTAGCTCGTAAGGCAAAAAACTAGATAGCGTTTTGCTACGAGTCACTTCTTTGAAGCTTGCTCAGAAACGGACTTTTTTTGCACAAACGATGACGCAAGAGAAAAACTTCGAAAGCTCATGCGTAGATGTAGTTTGATCTGCTGAATCCGAAAAAGAACATTTCAGAGCTCCGAAATGAAATGGAAAAGAACTAGACTAGTTTCCACTGAAAGGCCTGTTTTTCGCAGTTTTTCGGTACCTCTCAGTATTCTGTGATTTTGACCGAAAAGGTAAGCTTTTTTTGAGAAACCAAAGTCGCCACTGGATTCAGCGGACTCTCTTCTGTCGGAATACATGTAAAGAAAAGAAATCTGGGCACTTGCTCGAAGTTTGCATTGGCCGCACCTTATTAAAGATTCAATAAACTTTGGTAAATATTTTTTCAAAACTGGAGTACGATTTAATAATTCTGACATAATTGATTGTTTGCTTATTTCAACTGAATTATTGTTGACGATCATGTCGTTACAGCCATTGACTATTTTAGCTTCGTTACACCATTGATTCAGTGTGAGATTTTTTGCTTGTAAATCGACTGTTGGTTTAACAATACTATGGATAACAGTTGTACATATACTTAAAAGAGATGATTTTTCATTGCCTATATTATAGATTCTGGAAATGGTCTGGTTGTTATCAAATGATGACTCTATATCCCCATCTGGTACTTCATTTTCGATTTTCCCTTATTTTTTGTACCATCGATTTATGGTTTTGTAACTTCCACTCGATTGTGTTTGACTTAATATTGTTGATGGCAGTTTTGAACCAGTTAATGTATGTATCATCGGTGATGATACATTACAGCCTATTTCGGTGATGATACATTACAGCCTATCATCGGTAAATGAGAATGACATAATACAAAACCCATTTACTCCAGAATAAATTAATTCATAAATTTTACATGTTCTGTAATTGATACGTTGTGCAGTATTACCGTCGATTGTATTTAAATCATCATTGTTGTTTAATAATTGTCGAAGAAATGAAGAAACAGAATTTGGAATATATTTTAAAAATATGGCAACAGCTAATGTGCCTAACGCTCGTGGTGTTGTATTGAATAATGGTGTGCATAGAATATCATCATTTTCACATTTTATTTTGATGTTCTCGCTAAAAGACGAAATAACTTCAATTCTTGCTCAGTGTATAATGAATTGGTTTTTAATTAGCGGCAACACTCCTCACATATTAAATCAATTGCACCGTTTAATTTATTTGTTTCATCTTGTTGTGTTTTATCATTATGATTTCTGACCTTCATTTCACAGTCATTATCATTGTACAATCTTCTTTGTTTTGGTGGTTATGGCAATGATAATTCATTTATTATATCTTGTATTTGATTTATACACAGGTGACATAAAAACGAACAATTAATTTTTTGTTCAGTCATGTAACATTTTTCACAATTCAAGCATGGTATCTTATATACTAATTTCTTTTTCTTTTCTGATTCATCTAGTCCTTTTTGGATGGGTAGAAATACACTTTTGATTGTAAAAGTTTTTCTGAAGCATACATTAATTTCTATAAGCGGTAGAAGTTTTTCACATATTCGTTTAATTCTATGAGCTAATATGGTTGATTCTCGACCATAATAGGAGAGAACAAAGTAAGCTTTTTTCTTTTTTGACGATTGTTGTGTTTGCTGTTGTTTAGATATCATTCTTTTAGTGATTATTTCTCCTTCACGCATGCCCCTTTTAATTAAGTGTTGTGGATAACCATTCATTGTTAAGGTTTCTTTCATTAATTTAAGTTCATTATTCTTTAATTCATCTGTTGAACAAATTAGAAGTATGCGAATGACTAACGTTCGAATTAAACCTAATTTATATTCTCTGCATTGATTACTTTCATATAGTACGTACAGATTGGTATTGGTAGGTTTTCTGTACAACGTGGTATGATATTTATTATTTATATATAATGCTAAGCATACTAATAAAGAAAAACATACATTTGATTTTACACGATGTGAGACTCTAGCTCTTGAAACAAATTGGCGAAAAAGAATTATCAAAGAAAGTCTATTTACACACCAAATGAAAGGAAAAGCCTTAAATGACGTAAAGTTTAAATTAAACATCTTTGCATAAAACTATTACAAACTTATCAATTAGGAGTCAGATTATTAGCTCTTGTCTATCTATTTCTTTTTCTTCTTCTTTTGATGTACTATCAATTAGTGATCACATTAATAGCTTTTTCTTGTTCCTTCTCTATCTATACTCTATTAATTAGCACTCTTACTATATATAGAGAGATTGTATTTCACTTTTCTGTTTTTCCTGATGATGATAAGTGTCTCTTATCGAAAGCTTGAATAAACCATAAATTGATTTTTGTTAAAAATCTATTATGTTTTTTGTAGCAGTGTTATACTCAATAATTTCTAAATTTATTTCTACTGCTCCACCTTCAAATTATTTATCAACTAACTTCTTTCTTAAATAATGTCACATGTGAAGGCGTTGATGTTGCAACGGTGATGGAAGGATCAACAAGTATTTGCTTTGTTTATAGTGGTTAGGGTCCTCAATCAGGTCATCCACATTAGACGTTCAGCGTAAGCGGATAAAGAATTGATAGAACGACAAAATATCGACATATGAAAGATGAGTGGACGCGGAAAAGAACACACTCAAAATAACGTTTTGTATGAAATCGTGATATTTGAGCCGTCGAAACTGGAAGCGGAGTATGATTGAAACTTTTGTCGATAGAGGATGAAGTGGATATGCACTTATCCTTTTTTCATTTTTTTCTCACTTCGAGCACAACACGAAGTTCAGAGTAGACAGAAGAAATTTGAGCCGGTAGAAATGTAGAGTGAACATTTTTCTACTTACAAAATTCGGTGTCTGCGAGATCTGTGCGATGTATAGTTTACATTGTACACTACATTTATTAGGCGCCCTACCCGATTCGGATCGATGCTTTAATAGGAGTGCACGCCAAAGATTGATCATTTATTTTAAATCCAACAAAACTTAACTAACAGAGGAAACAAATATTATTCATTTTTGACATTCTTTATTGATATTCCCTATGGTGGGCAATGGGTAGACAATTGTACAAATCAGAGCGAATATTTCAACGATGGATCAATAAAATTGATCGTGAATTGAACAGAAGTGAACAGTTGAATGGTCACTAGTGGATGAATTAATCTACGTACAAGATGATGTACACTCACGTATTAACGATACAAATATTGCTCAACCAACCCTGTTTGCTTTACAAGTTGCTTTAACTGCACTTTGGATATCATGGGGTGTTTATCTTCAGGTGATTGTGGGACATTCAGCTGGAGAAATAGCAGCTGTTTATGTTAAAGGTAGAGTAACGTTGACGGAAGCCTGTCAAATTATTTATCATCGCTCACTACTTCCACATTGTAATACAAGACAAAATGGCCGGATGTTGGCTGTGGCAATGAGTATCAAAGAAGCTCAAGACTTAATTGAAGGTATTAATGATTATATTTGTATTGCTGCTCATAATAGTCCTCGATCGATAACATTAAGTGGTGATGAAAAGATTTTAGAAAATTTATATGAAATACTTAATGTTTTACATCCGAAAATATTTAAATCGTGGTTGAAAATAGAAAATGCGTTTCACAGTCATCAAATGGAACTGTTTAATATTCAACAGGATTTAATGAAATCCCTAAAACATATCAAAAGCGATAATGTAACAGATGAGAATAATAAATTTGATTTAAAATGTTCACAAGCTATACTGTATCCAACTGTTAGTGGAACTCTATGTGACGAAACGGTCAAATTTAATAGTGATTATTGGTGGGCAAATGTCCATTCCATGGTTCAATTTGATAAAGCCATAGAAACAATTCTCAGTGATTCACCGGTTAATCAGATTTATTTAGAAATATCACCACATCCTGTTTTGTGTACATCAATTCGAGAATATATAGATCAATTCAAACATAAGTCAGTTATAGTTTTGCATTCACTTAAACGTAAAGAAAATGAACAACAAGGTAACGCTCGTCTCCACTCGCTCGGTCCCTTGACTTTAATAACCTGGATCTGCGCTACTGAACGCCGTTTCGTGACTTTTAAACCGAAGACAATGCTCGCGCCTCCCTTCGGTCGGCGCTCGCTGGGGGCCTAACTAAGCCATCTTCTTGATGTTTTTCTGTTTTCATGTGTAAGGTTCGTAATCTAATATAAATATACAAGGCAAAAAGTTCCAGAGGTCTAAAAATATTTCTGAACTCAAAGCAATGCTCACGCCTTCCTTCGGTCGGCGTTCGCAGCCACTATAGCTGAGAAACGCTGTGAACTTCTCTGCTTCCATGGAAAAACATCTTTTTATGTCTGTTGTTGGTTTTTACTTATAAAAAATCGACTTTGAATGTAAATAAAGCTAAAAGGTTTTCTGAACATCCTTTACGGATCTTAAGGAGATTGGAACTATTTTTAATCGATTCGCTATGATAGATTCTCTATACACTGTAAGTTACAGTATCCGTAGCCGACTTTCTTTGTATTATCACAGTTGACTGCTATCTGGCGACATCTATCCCCGGCCTACAGAAAACGTTTGCTTAACTTTTTGTCTCTCTGCAGCGGTAGATATTTCAGATCATCTTTTTGAATATTTTCTCCCTTCTGAAAAAAATAATTTTCTACTTCTCTCTCTTGTGATTCGCTTATCCATAGAATATCTGACAGCCATGTTTCCGTATTTTGCGCACACACAGACACACAGACAGACAACCAGTTTGTAAGACCCTAGACTAAAGTCAAGGGAACAAACAATGTTGACATCGTTATGTAAGTTAACTTCGAATTTAAAAAAATTTTGGACAACTCGTTCATATTCAAAATTATATAAACACAATTCTCATAATACAGATATTCTAGATTCTTTGCCACTGTACACATTCAATAACACTGTTTATTGGTATGAATCACCTGAATCTTGTGTTGACCGTCGAAGTCAACGGAAACAACATCATCCACTCTTAGGTGCACGTTTATGGACTCGTCAAAAAAATCCAACATGGGCAATTATAATTGATATTAATTTACCAAACTTTGCATATCTACTTGATCATCGAATACAAGGAAATATATTTTTTCCAGCATCTGGTTTTATAGAAGTAGCTCTAGCAGCTGTCGGTCAATTGCTATTATTATCTTCAACAGCAACATCAGTCGCATTTGAAAATGTACAATTTTTGCAACCATGTGTATTGAATAAAGATGAACCAATAGAAATTCATACACAAATTCAAATGCCATTTCGACAATTTTTTATTTATAGTCGTCGTTATCCTTCAACTAAAGATGTATCAAGAAAAAGTGGTATATCAGCAACAGATATATTAAAAGATTATACCGATGAAGAGGAACTACATTCATATTCATTAAAAGAATGGACATTGCATTGAACTGGCACTATTCAAATGAAACATATTGATCTAATGCAATTAAAATCATTGTACAATATTGAGAAACTTCAGCAAAATTTGTACGAAGCTCGTACTTGGTCAATTGAAAGTAATCAAATAGCACAAATATACAAATATTTTTCGTCACGTGGTAACAACTATGGACCATGTTTTCGAAAGATAAAATCAGCTTATGGTACAAAATCTGCCATGATAACAGAACTCATTGATGCTCAACAATTTCAACAAGAAAATGAGAGAACACACCTCGTACAACAAAATGGCGAAGAAAAAGGTTTCGATTGTCTCGAACAACAAAGTAATGATCAAAAAGACCTCAGTCATCTCAGACAACAAAACGATGAGCAGATAGATCTTGATCGCATCAAACAAGGAAATGATCATCAAGTAGAAGTTAATCAAATTGAACAACAAGAACAACAAAATGATCACATACAATCGACTCCCGTTCAATATCAATCAAACAATGACCAAACAAGTCTTAAGCACCTGAAACTACCACATGAAGGTCAATATTGGCTACATCCCACTGTATCTGATACATGTTTCCATAGTGGACTATTATTGTTGCCACAAACTGAAGAAGCCTTTGTACCAGTGTCAATAGACGAGATCATTTTTCTCTCTAAAGAGCGACAACAAAATTTGTATACCTATACGTGTTTTAATTCGTCCGTTCGTGGCATACCCTCTCACTATAAGTATTCAGCAGATTCATTAATATTTAATGAACAAAAACAATTGATCGCCGTTTTCAAAGGTGTTAAGTTACAGGCACTTATTAGTGGTAGTCACTCGGTAAAAGCTAAATCGATAGTTGAAAAAGTGGAAGAAAGCAAATTAATTCCAAGTAGAAATAGTCATCAGCAAGCTAATATTGATCACTTTCTCAACGAGTATTGTGTAACTCTGACTTGGAAACAGTCAGAAATTTATGACAGTTGTACCGATTTCTTCCCTACGCCAAAGCAGATGATGGATACAATAGTTGATGATGAAAAAACAGTTTCATACTTGGAAAATGATTTAACAGACAGAGATCGCAACGGCTTGAAAGCGAGAAATGATGTGAATAAATTAGCAATACAATATTTTTTAAACACGTGTAAGCAATTATTAAATGTGAATAAACTAATTCAGATCAATAAGCGACTCATATATAAAGATAAAGAAGGAGAAGAGGAAGAGAATAAAAATCATTATTATTCTTTTCTTATTGATTCATTCATCGAATGGCTAAGGAATATAAAATAATTGATGAAAATAGTTTTTTATTAATTGATACATCAACGATAAATCAATATACGATTAATTTAAAGTATGTACAATTATTAAAACAATATCCTGATTTAATAAGTATGTTTAGTCTCATTTCATTATGTGGAAAAAAATTATACAAAATATTAAAAGGTGAATTAGATCCATTGCAATTGATATTTGGATCGGAAGAAAATGCATTATTAGTACAAGAATTGTATAATGTTACTTCAGAATCATACATTAATTTAACATGCAACTGTTTAACTAAACATTTACAAGAAAAACAAAAAGTAGTTCTTAAAAGGAATTGGCTATTAAAAGTATTAGAGGTAGGCGCTGAAACAGGAGCATCAACATTACCCTTCTTAACCCAGTTACTAGATTTTGCTAATCAAAGACAAACAAGAATCGAATTTATATTTACTGATGTATCACCAGCATTTTTCATTAAAGCACAGAGAACATTTGATCAGTTATTAAATGATAACAATCAACAAAACCTTTTACATATATCATATCAAGTGTTAGACTTAGATGTTGTTGATATTAATAGCAATGTATTTAACAGTGAATCGTTTGATGTAATACTTGCAGTTAATGTTCTACATCTTGCAGTAAACGTTTGCCAATCATTAATCACTCTAAAACAATTACTTGTACTGAACGGTTTAATAATTTTGATTGAAGTGACATCGTCCAATCCATATCTTGATTTAGTCTACGGTATATTCCCTCAATGGTGGACTAACACTAGACAAGAATCAAAACGAGCAACTCTATCAATGAGCCAATGGTCATCTATATTCAACGAGGTTGGTAACTTCGACAAATTCGATTATGCTACAGTTAACGGTGGTAAAGCTAACGGTGATGTGTAGTGCTCAAAAATCAAACATCATCAATTATGATGAACAGTAGCAACCACCATGGATCATCTTCACCGATGGACAACAAGGCATTGGAATGAATTTAGCAAAAGTTTTAAAACAAAAAGATTATTTAAATGTAATATTGGTCTACGCAAAGGAAAATAATCAGAACCATGCCGGCGAACATATAACAATTAATCGTGTAGATGATATTCAAAATATATTTAAACGTTACAAGTACATAAATATTTTATTTTTATGGTCATTGGATTTGATGAAAACACTCGATGGTGAACAAACATTTCAATTACAAGAAGAAGAAATATGTGGAACACTAATGCATATTTTATAAGCGATGATTACTTTAGAAAAAAAACAGCATTCATATGTATTGGTTTTTACACAAAATGCCCAACCAATAATGTCAAATGAAAGCCTTTGTAATTATGATCCAACTCAATCACCTTTAATTGGTTTTGCACGATCACTCGCTTTCGAATATCCAAAAAATCATCTTAGATTGATTGATCTGCAATTCCCGTATAATAATACAATGAGTTCAAACTTGGTTAATGATATAATACATGAAATTGATTATGTTACATCATCAACACCTGTTACTAAACAAGAACAAGAAATTGTCCTATTACAAACATCTGATAATCTTATACAACGATACAAAATCATTTATGAAGATATTCAACAACCACAAGTAGAAAAACTATCAATCAAACGTATTATTCATCCAAATATTGATACAGATCGATTTCATTTGGTTTAAGCTTTATTTCAAGTAAGAAAGAGACAACTGATCCACCTACCCCGAAGCGGAAGCCCATTATATCAGATGCAGGTGGATTAGTCCTTGAATAGCGAGAATAGTAATAATAATAAAAA